GCGAGAAGGAAGGCGATTACTCAAGTTCCAGCCGGTCGAGGAGTTTCGTGTTACCACCACCAAAGCCCCCGACTTGCTATGGTCACTGCAACACCCTTCGTGCACTTCCCTCAGCACATATCGACCTTCTTATTTGGTCACACACCGCAGGTGCGGTCCTGCATACGACCGTTTGTACAGAATGCCTCCATGTTCAAAGAACCTCCTCATCACCTTCACCGTACCCTCTTTTAGCTCCCTAAGGATCGGGGCCCTCCAGTCCTCGACTTCCTCGATCTCAACTACCTCCGCCTCGACCACACTCTACTTCAAATGTAACAAAGTCACGCTCCGACTCTTACAATCCACCAAGCTCTGGGAAGTCTTCGACAATAGATTTGCTCGACCATTCTCTCCTCGAAGAATCTGTATCAACTCGAATGAATCAAACTCATCCCTCAACTTCTTCATCTGATCGACATACTTCTGCATCCTATCCTCCTTGACTTCAAACCCTTCCTGAAATTGCCCGACTACCAGTTGAGAATCAGAATGCACTTGCACTTTTCGAGCCCCTCCAGCCATGGCTAATTGTAACCCTTTGATCACCGCCTCGTATTCAGCTTCATTATTGGATATTTTAAGCCTCACCTTAGCCGTGAATTCCAAGTAATATCCCTTAGGAGAAACAAGGACAATCCCCAATCCTGCTCCACTTCTCGCCACCGATCCATCCACGAATAACTGCCAAACTCCTCCGGATTCCTCCTCCACCTTAGTGCCCTCCTGAATAAAGTCTGCGAGCACCTGTGCTTTTATATCCCTCCTTGGCTCATACATCAAGGAATAATCACTCAACTCGACTGACCATTTCACTACTCGACCAGAAACTGAGGGTCGCCCGAGCGTTTCTCCCAGAGGCATATTCGTTCTCACCTTTACTTTATGGTTTAAGAAATAAGGCCTCAGTTTTTGAGCAGTTACCACACTGCCAGAGCACACTTCTCGATCTTCGAGTATCTCATCTCAGCTCCCTCCATCACCCTACTCACGTAATAGATAGGAAATTGTGCCACCCCTTCCTCTCGCAGCAGCACCGAACTCACAGCCCTTTCTCCAATAGAGATATATAGCACCAGATCTTCCCCTTGAACATGCTTAGCCAACAGTGGCAGATTGGCTAGCACTCCTTGTAACTCCTCAAATGCCCGTTGAGCTTCATCTGTCCATTGGAACTTTGCACTCATCTGAAGTGTTTTGAATAAGGGACCACTCTTCTCGGCCACCTTCGGGATAAATCGGCTCAGCCCCGCAATTCGACCAGCTAAAGTCTGCACCTCTTTAACATTTGTTGGTGATTTCATCTCCATCACCGCTCGCACCTTCTCCGGATTCACCTCGATACCCCTCTTGGTCACCAAGTACCCCAGAAACTTCCATGACTTTACACCAAACGAGCATTTGGCTGGGTTCAACTTCATCCCGAACCTCCTTAACGTTAAGAACGTCTCCTTCAAGTCCCGCACATGATCCATCTCCTACTTACTCTTCACCAACATATCATCCACATACACCTCCATATTCCTCCCCAATTGCTCCTTGAAAATTTTGTCCACCAACCTTTGATACGTGGCACCCACATTTTTCAGGCCGAACGGCATCACCACGTAACAATAAGTTCCTCAGCTTATCACAAAGTTCACTCTCTTTCTGTCTTCTCTCACCAAGGGAATTTGATGATATCCCTGCGAGGCATCCATTAGGCTCAACAGCTCACACCCAGCGGTTGAATCGACCAGCTGGTCGATCCTGGGCAGCGGGTACAAATCCTTCAGGCATGCTTTGTTCAGGTCCCGGAAATCTATGCACATACTCCATTTCCCCTCCTTGGCTTCTTCCCTCGACCATGTTTCCCTGCTATCGACTCATCATCGACTTCCTCCTCTCGATCACTCCTCTCTTCCAAATCCTCTCGACATCTTCTCCTTCCCTTTCCTTTCGCTCGATCATGATACACAAAATCCTTCAAGTGCCCCGCCCGAATTAACCGCTCAATCTCATTCTTCAGATGCCTACAATTCTCCATAGTGTGGCCATAATCTCTATGAAACTGACAATATATATCTGACCTGGGTCGGGTCGGGCCTGTAAACCTCGTCTTTGGCCACGTCATATCCTCACTTGCCATCTTTTGCTCCATTGCCTCGAGCACCTCTCCCATATCTTTCCTCAAGGGCGTGAAATTATGGTACCTCTACCGCTCGAACAATAACGGCTTCCCTTGCCACCGATCGTCCCGTTCGAAGACTCCTTATCAATCCACCCGCCTTCACCTCATCCGATGCCGAGTGCACCTCCAAACACGTTTGGTTATATCGAGCAACATACTTCCTCAACGACTTCTTCTCTTCCTGCTTCATCGCCATCAAAGTAAAATAGTTTTTTCTTGAGCCACTGCGCTCGAATACTGATTGGTGAGTCTGCTAGAAAAATCCTCAAAATCAGCAATCGACCCCGGGGGTAATTGATGGAACCAATCGAGTGCTCCCCCACGCAAGGTCGATAAGAAAGCCCTGCAACACACAGAATCAGAATATCCATGCAATACAGCCATATTTTCAAAAGTCCTCATATGCCTTGACAGATCTGATGAACCATCAAACACCAAATTGGTCTCCCAAAAATTATTCGGCAACTGGCGAAACTGCTCCGCCATCCTCTCCATCGCACGATCCCTCACATCTCCTCCACCTCCATAACTGGACGCATCCTCATCCTGACCTCCTACCACCATGGTCAGTGCAGTCGTAGCCTGAGATGTATGGTTTGTGGCTTGCTGGACTGTCTGCGCTGCCGCGGTCGCGACCATCCTCTTCATCTCCTCTCTGGTCATCGCCATCATCTGCTGAACAGAGAATTGCACATCCGCTGATGGTGGTGGTCCTCCCTGCACCGCCAATCCTACTGGTTGTGCATCTATCGGGTTTGGTTGCGGTGGCGGCGGCATCGCCACTGCGGCTGCTGCACAAGCCTCCTGGGCGCGACTGGAGCTCGCCTCTCCTCCAGGAACCGCCGTCGATGCTCCCACACCTTGAAGAATAGACGTAGGAGTAACCGGCGTCTGCAAGGGGCCAGAGAAACCCGGAGGAGGGCCCTGGCAAATCGGCCTAGTCGTCATCCAAGCATCATTGAACATCGACTGCAAGTTGGTTCTGGGAATTTCGTCCGCCATAGTTGAGCTTCGAACACAACTTTTTGAACAAGAGTCCCCACAGATGGCGCCAATAATACAAGTGTAAGCGTCCTGGACCGGTTTGGAATAGATCGCCCCTATCCTAGCCGGTAGAACGCCGGAAACCTGCAAATAACTCTCACACTGGGGGGTTTTTCAGGTGAAGAGCCTCCGATGCTTAAGTAAGTATGTGTATGAGTATACTTGAGTTGAATAATAGAAATCGTGTCAAGAAAGAAAGACTCACCCCTCTTTATATAGGGGTGAGATACCTGACCTAATAACTGTCCGGATATTGTGAGCTGGCTGCCTCAGCTGCCCGTCCGTACTCTGACATGTCGCGCGTATGTCAGAGGTAGTGCTGAGAGTTGTCAGAGGTGGTTGTCGCTATCAACCAATACATTCTCACCACGTGTCCTCTACACATGGGATGATTATCCCTTTGAATATTCTCCTGAAATTCAGTTTAGAGGCTCTTTTACGCGCCTGTGACTAGGCCGATCTCCAAAGTACCACCAACCTGTAGAGTGGTCGATCTGGTGGGGTCGACTTGACTGGTTGGCCGCTTGACTGGTCGACTGATTGACTGGTCCACTACTTGACTGGTCAACTGGTTGACTTGTCGACTGATTGACTGGTCGACTGGTTGACTGATTGAGTGGTCCACTGCTTGAATGGTTAACTGCTTGACTGGTCGAATGATTGGCTGGTCGATCTCCCCGCCACTTGGTTCAACTCCTTCACGGTTCAACCTCTTCGACTGGTTTGGCAGACCGGTTTAGCCTTGTGGGTATAATATCCTATATCAGAAATGATCCTCTTTGGGATCCTGTTCAATACGTAAATGTACTAGTGCAACTAATCAGTCAAGACAAACTGTACCATTGACACTACAACCGTTCACGATGGGGTGTTCATGTCCATCTAAGTTGTGAACCAATATTCTTGTTTTGCAAGTGACTGATAAAATGATCTTTGGTTTGCCCGATGACGACCCACTCTATCTAAGTCAAAACAACAAAACATAGAACTTGTTTAATCTAACATGATTCTCATTCATAAAGGGTAAATGTGTAATATCATCCAAAGCCAATCTTTAAGTATATAACACTAACAAGAACATCATGTTACACTTGGGATTTCATCTAGAATTCTTCTCTATTTTTCGGGTTAAGCTTGTAATTGGGATTCAACAATCGATTTCTTTATCAGTTGTAAATTTTCCTTTTCATCTAACCATGGATATGAATCCTTGGATTGTGGTTGATGTCTTGTTGTATTCTATATGAGTAACTAATCCTATTCGCTAGGGTTTTGGGATAATGTTTTGATTTCGATTGTGGTTTTCGTGCTTGTTGAACATTCAAAACATACGAGTTAATTTTTAAATAGGGTTTGGATCTTCATGCTTGAATGTTGAATATTGTTGAAGGGTGACACTTCAATTTACATTTGGTTTCAAATTGAATATGATTCGTTCTAGCGTGATGTTACAATCCTAATAGACTAGTCGATTAACCACCATCTAGTCTTTTTTAATCGACTCTTAGAACCGAAAGGGGAGGAGTTGATCGATCTAGGCTTGTATGAAATAGGCTTGTTCGTAACTGTACTGCCTATGCGTTAAACGACTCGTTAATTTGTCGTTCATGTTTATTCTCTTGTTATTAGAGTTATTGAGGATGAATCTCTTAATGTTAAAGTTATTCGAATATTTTAACCGAATGATCACTTGCCCGTTAAATGAAATCAAACCAAAATTATTATCCCCGACTCCCTATGTAACACCCCATTTGATTATGGATTATTTGAGTATGATTATTGATTAATTATTGTTATTATTATGTGCCCTATTATTATTATTATTGTTATTATTATTATTATTATTATTATTATTATTATTATTGTTATTATTATTATTATTATTATTATTATTATTATTATTATTATTATTATTATTATTATTATTATTGTTGTTGTTGTTGTTGTGTATTTATTTGTCATTATTTGTCTAACTTGTCTAATTGTCTAATATTATTATTAAATAAAATGTGTGTTATATAAATATATTTTTTTTTTTGTTTTAATTTAATTATCATGCGATCATATCGAGCCTCGTCTATCTTAATTGTTGAACCGAGAGGAGAACCGATTCGTGAACCCGCGCCCTCTCGGCCTGAAGGGTCCGCTCCCGTTCACCCGCCCATGTGCCCCGCACCCGGTTTTTCTTTTTCCTTATTTTGGCTTGATGGTCAAGAAAGGTAAGTTAGGTTTAGGGGATCCCAATCTAGCCTTATAAATAGTGAAGAATCCCTTAGCTTATCGTCATTTATTTTCTCCCTGCAGCACCATCTCTCTCTCTCTCGTCCAATCTCTCTATCGCTCTCAATAATCTTCCCCTTGTTTGGCTCTATTAGGAACGTCGACAATGTGCACATTCAAATCTATTGAATAATAAATCCTAACGCAGCGGAATCTATAGTTAGGATTAGGACTTACGGTTTAAAATTTTTGTCGACTCTGAGACGTTTCTGATTTTCGTTGATGGAGATCGTCTGAACACCAAAGTCCAATGGGCAGTTGGACTTGGCCTTTCTTGATTCTAATCGTGTCATCAAGGTGCTCCAATCTCTCATCAAGCTCATCGGATTGTCTCGGACCTTCGGTAAGTGAGTTGGACTCCTCGGGCCGCTCGAAAACCATCTCGGGCACGAACTGGGCTTACTGGGTCGGGCTGAACCGGGTCAGACCAGTCTGGAACAGGTCTGGTCGGGTCTGGGCCGGACTGGGCTAGTTCGGGTCGTGTCTGGTTACTGGGCACGAGGACTGGTCTGCTGGCCGCAGGTTGCACGCACACTGGGCTGCTGGTGCGCTGCTGGGCCGGATGCACGCGCGCGGGCGCAGTGGCGCGCGAGATGGTCGGGCAGTGGCATCGCGTGCACGCAAGACGCGCAGGACTCCTACTCCTGGGTAGACTGGAGCGCGAGCGAACGTGCACGACATGTCTCCTAGGCTGGCGAGGACTGGCGCGCGCGTACATCTCGCGCGAGGGGACTCCTGGGCGCTACGGTCCTCTGTTGGGCGCACGCGAAGAACACTGGCACGCACGGTGGCGCACAGTGGATGTTGTGATGCGATGCAAGTGTGCGCGTCGGTGCGCGGGCAGGGCGTCTGTTTGCGCGGTGGTACATGGGCGGGCGTCTGTTTGCGCGGCCGTGTGCAGGCGGGCGCGGGCGTTGCTGAGGCGGCGCGTGAGGGCGCATGGGGCTCCGACTGCAGCGCGTTCGGCAACAGCTGGTCACCGAAATTACGCCGGTGATCTCCTGTTGCTCCGGTGGTCTTGCTCTCCTGATTTGGTGGCCATCGGAGGTGCTGCGGAGTTGAATATATTCGACGGGATGAACGGATACATATATTCAATGGGATACGAATAACAACCTTCGAATCTTCTATTGTGTGACCTTTACACAATCTCTAATAAATCTTGGTGGAGCGATTTATTAGATTTCCCAAAGCTTCTCAATCATCTTCTTCTAAGACCTTACGGTGCTAACCGAATTTTCTCTCGAAGAAGAATCTCTCTCCTTATTTCTCACTTGAAGAGGTGGAATTTCTCCAGCCCTTCGGGGAGAAGAAAAACGTGTGACATTCTCAAGAGGCTAGGGTATTTGTGTATTTATAAGCTACAATAGGGACCTAAAGGAGGTGCTAAATATGGGCTTATTCCTTTAGATTTAGAAATCCTAATTATGCTTCATGTACCCCACTTGATTTTAAAGAAATTTCGGATTTTTCAAAAACCAGTATAAAATTTCCAAACTCATTTTCGAAAATTTAGTGGGTGTTAACTATCACAATTTAACTAGTCCA